GGCATGGCGCTGGAAATAATGACGCCTGTGCTGCAGCGGGAACACGATTCGGAGCGGAACGTTTCTGCGAGAGGAGCATCTTGACAAACAATGCAGCGAACACCCGTCTCCCGGGAATCCTGTGTTGAAAATACCAGTACGCGGAGGGGGGGGCGAATATTTCCAGGACGTCACCAGGGGAGAGAGGAGAGTAGTATTCATATTGTGTAGCTGCGGAGGAGGAGGCAAAAGGAGGAGGAGGAGAAGGAGGAGGATGAGACGGAGGAAGAGGAGGAACGATTTGTATTTCCCGCCGGAAGAACGAGGGTATGGGGGAGCAAAACCATAGACTCATATTGAGGCCGATGCATCGATCTCCCTCGCCTGCCCAGAAACCAGCGCACCCTGTCCGCGCACGGCGCTATCTATATTTATCATTTCTTTGTTTGTCGTTTTTTCCCAACCATCCTGTGGTGTTGGGTCCTCGTTTTGAAGAGACGTCGCCCCGCGTCCCTCCTTCCTCCTCCTTCCTCCTCCTCCCCTTCCTCCCCCCACCTCCCCCTCCCACACCCATTCTGGCACACCCCTCACACGTTTCGTGGCCCCATAGGGAGCTCCACCGAAGGCCCCAGTGGCTGCGCCCGCATGCGGTTCCACCCCCCATTCTGGCACACCCCTCACACGTTTCGTGGCCCCATAGGGAGCTCCACCGAAGGCCCCAGTGGCTGCGCCCGCATGCGGTTCCACCCCCCATTCTGGCACACCCCTCACACGTTTCGTGGCCCCATAGGGAGCTCCACCGGAGGCCCCAGTGGCTGCGCCCGCATGCGGTTCCACCCCCCATTCTGGCACACCCCTCACACGTTTCGTGGCCCCATAGGGAGCTCCACCGAAGGCCCCAGTGGCTGCGCCCGCATGCGGTTCCACCCCCCATTCTGGCACACCCCTCCACGTTTCGTGGCCCCATAGGGAGCTCCACCGAAGGCCCCACTGGCTGCGCCCGCATGCGGTTCCACCCCCCACACCCCTCACACGTTTCGTGGCCCCATAGGGAGCTCCACCGAAGGCCCCAGTGGCTGCGCCCGCATGCGGTTCCACCCCCCATTCTGGCACACCCCTCACACGTTTCGTGGCCCCATAGGGAGCTCCACCGAAGGCCCCAGTGGCTGCGCCCGCATGCGGTTCCACCCCCCATTCTGGCACACCCCTCACACGTTTCGTGGCCCCATAGGGAGCTCCACCGAAGGCCCCAGTGGCTGCGCCCGCATGCGGTTCCACCCCCCATTCTGGCACACCCCTCACACGTTTCGTGGCCCCATAGGGAGCTCCACCGAAGGCCCCAGTGGCTGCGCCCGCATGCGGTTCCACCCCCCCATTCTGGCACACCCCTCACACGTTTCGTGGCCCCATAGGGAGCTCCACCGAAGGCCCCAGTGGCTGCGCCCGCATGCGGTTCCACCCCCCATTCTGGCACACCCCTCACACGTTTCGTGGCCCCATAGGGAGCTCCACCGAAGGCCCCAGTGGCTGCGCCCGCATGCGGTTCCACCCCCCATTCTGGCACACCCCTCACACGTTTCGTGGCCCCATAGGGAGCTCCACCGAAGGCCCCAGTGGCTGCGCCCGCATGCGGTTCCACCCCCCATTTCGGCACACCCCTCACACGCTTCGTGGGTGGCTCCATGGGGAGCTCCACCGAACGCCCCAGTGGCTGCGCTCGCATGTGGTTCCCCCCCCCATTTCGGCACACCCCTCACACGGTTCGTGGCCCCATAGAGAGCTCCACCGAAGGCCCCAGTGGCTGCGCTCGCATGCGGTTCCACTCCCTTTTTCGGCACGCCTTCACACGTCTCGTGGCCCCATAGGGAGCTCCACCGAACGCCGCAGTGGCTGCGCTCGCATGCGGTTCCACCCCCATTTCGGCACACCCCTCACACGTTTCGTGGCTCCATAGGGAGCTCCACCGAAGGCCCCAGTGGCTGCGCTGGCATGCGGTTCCACACCCCATTCTGGCACACCCCTCGCACGTTTCGTGGCCCCATAGGGGGCTCCACCAAAGGTCCCAGTGGCACTGCCCGCTTGCGTCCGCCACCACCCAGCACAGCCCTTGTTCCCTGCGCTTCACCCACCCAGAACAGCGCTTCGTAGCCCTATAGGGAGCTCCACCAAAGGTCCCAGCGGCACCGCCCGCATGCGTCCGCCACCACCCTGCACAGCCCTTGCTCCCTGCCTGCGTTTCACCCACCCAGTACAGCGTTTCGTGGCCCCATAGGGAGCTCCACCGAAGGTCCCAGTGGCACCGCTCGCATGCGTCCGCCACCACGCAGCACAGCCCTTGCTGACCGCGTCTCACCCACCCAGTACAGCGTTTCGTGGCCCCATAGGGAGCTCCACCGAAGGTCCCAGTGGCACCGCCCGCATGCGTCCGCCACCACCCAGCACAATTGCGGCATTCACAACTGCATATGGTTGGGTCCTTCGCCAGGCGAATTTCTTTTTTTTTGTTTTCTCTCTCTCTCTCTATCTATCTCTATTCCTACTTCTCCCTCTCTCCTCTTTTTCTCTTCCTCTGTCTTCCTTTTTCTCCATCCCTCCCTCTCTCTCCCTCTCTCTGTATAATTATGAATCCTTCTCTTTTTCTGTCTCTCTCTCTCTCTATTCCTCCCTCTCTCCCTCTCCTCGATCAGGGTGGAGAACCTTCCGGACGACATGACCTGGATCGAGCTGAAGGAGATCAGCAGGGAGTTCGGGGGGAACTCCCTGACGTTCACGCGGACCTTCCGCGCCAGAGACGTCAACACTGGCATCGTGGAGTTCTCGGACCGGCGGGACTCCGACAGGCTGATGCGAGAACTCGACGGCCGCCGCATGCAGGGCTCGGACGCCAGGCTAGCTGCGAGGCCCGAGGCCGGCTACGCCGACGGCCGGAGATGACTGGGGGCGGTCCTGAGATGGCCAGGGCGGCCCCCGCCCAAACATCAAAGGATCGGCGGCGAGCGAGGGGGGGGAACTGAGAAGGGGAAGGCCTTCCCAGAAGGCGGCGGGACTTCTCTGAAGGCCTCGCGCCTTCTGAGAGGTTTTTTCTGTATTCTGGGAGGGTTCAGAACACTTCTTGGATGGCCAGGGAACTTCCGAGCCTTCTGAGTACGCTCGCCCCTTCTCACTTCCCCCCGGGTGCGCCACCTGGAGGAGAACGAAGTACCGATACCGCTACCCTTGTCTCGTTTTCGCCGCTATTTAGGCTCCTGGGGGGCCTTCGCCGCTGTTTAGGCTCCTGGGGGGCCTTCGCCGCCACGGCTAGATTCGCGTCGAAATTCTGGTCAGAATGCCTCCCGTGAGAGGTCCGGGGACTAGCGGTCCCAGACACCCGACGCCGCGAGTTTTTTCATGCCTTCCCCAGGACCGGTTTTTTATCCTGAGTCGTGTGTTGACGGCCTTGAGGTCCCGTGACGGCCCCCGTGGGGCCGAAAATAGCGACACGCTTCCCGTCATTATTTTTGTCACGAATCGAGGGACTGGGGTGTCGGTATCGTTTCGTTTCTCCACGTTGGCAGCAATGATGGGCCAATTCTCCACCACCGCTACCAGAGGTAGGACGGGGGAGAAGGGAGGATGGGGAGGTCCTCCTCCTCCTCCTCCTCCTCCTCCTCTTCCTCCTCCTCCTCCTCCTCCTCCTCCTCCTCCTCCTCCTCCTCTCCTCTTCCCTCTCCTACAGACGGTAGTGGTGGTGGAAAATCGGTCCATCAAGTAGGGCGCACATCTTCGGAGGTCTCTGCGCGGATTTTTGCCGGGTCGGCGCTGGGCCCACCGCCCCCCTCCCCACGGTGGCTCTGCGCGTTGGGGGCAAGCGGTGTTGGACGGAGGGCTCGGCGCGGACCGAAGAAAACTTGTCACTAATTACCCAGACCTCCTCGCGTTGTGAACAAAAGATCACGACGGGAGGTTTCTCGCTATTTTCGGTTTCCGGGAGCTCTTCCTGGGCCTCGGGAACGTCGAAAAACAACTCGGGACGAAAAGCAGGTCCGGGGCCGACGTTGTGAAACAATCACGACGTCGGGGGTCTGGGTATTCGACATGGGGGAAGCGGGTCCTGAGGGAAGCGGGTCCTGAAGTTTCCCCTATTGGCGGGTTCTCGGGGCCCTCCACGGGCCCCGGGACCGTGAGAAAATAGGAGGAAGAGCTCGTCCGGGGGGAAGGCCCCGGGGTCCAGGACCCGATTCCCTCGAGACCCGTTCCCCCCATTGCTAAATAATGTCTATGCCCCGTTTGGGCCATCTATAAATCCCGCCGGCACGATGGCTGGGCGGCCCTGCCTCCTCCTCCCTCTTCCTCCTCCTCCTCCTCCTCCTTCTCCCCTCCTCCTCCTCCTCCTCCTCCTCCTCCTCCTCCTCCTCCTCCTCCTCCTCCTCCTCCTCCTCCTCCTCCTCCTCCTCCTCCTCCCCCGTTGGGGCCAGTTTCGATGAAGATTCCTGCGGGGGCCGCCGCCCGTGTGGCGTGGCAGCCGCCCGAGATGGGCAGCGGCTCTTCGCCGGACGACGGAGAAACCGGAATATAGGTGGCATTGCCGCGCTGGGTGGGGGAACGAAAAATGACATAAACATAAACACTCGGAGGTCCGCGCGGATTTCTCGGATCCGCGGCGCCTCCGGCGCCGCCCCTGGCGCGCTCCGCGCGCCAGGGAGGGGGGTCCCGCGCGGATCCGAGGAACCCGCGCGGACCTCCGAGTTTTTATGTTTATGTCATTTTTCGTCCCCTGCTGGGGAGCCTTTCTCAGACTTATCATGGCGCCAGCGCGGGAAAAATGCGGAGCACGTTCCAGGATGATCGCACTGCGATATGTGTGATGTTTGCCTTTCGCGTGTCTGTCCACCTTTCCCTCGTCCTTCCCCCCTCGACCTCGAACAGGCTCTCGTCAGGCCAGGATGTTCGTTTGGGACACTTGCCCCGCGGCCTTGTATTAGTATGTCGTCGTGTGTTGCTGTTGTTGCTGGTGTTGTTGTAGTATTGTTGTTGTTGCTGTTGTAAACTGTTGTTGTTGCTGCTGCTGCTGTTGTTGTTGTTGTTGTTGTTGTTGTTGTTGTTGTGTTTCGTGTTGGTGTTGTTGTGATCTCTCTCTCTCTCTCTCTCTCTTTCGTTCTCTCTGTCTGCCTCTTTCCCTTTTGATATCTCTCTCTCTATCACTCTCTCATTACATCTTGAACCCCTGAACCCCCTTGCTATCCCTCGCTCGCTCCCTCGGCTATTTCCCATTAGCTCTCCAACCTTATCTCCACTCCTCTTTTTCCTGCCCTACCTCCATCCCCATCGCCCCCCTCTCTCTCTCTCTCTCCTCCTCTTACCTTCCCAAACTGTACGGGAGCCACGAACTTCAGAGCAGATGACTGACACCTCGTCGAAGAAATGTCGACGCGTCAACATTCGATGATTCTGTTTCATCAAACGTTCAAAACACATGTTACTCAGCGTGTACCCCAAACATTCAGCTCTTGCATTCTAGATGTGTAAACTATAACGGCCAAACTATGTGATGCAGGGTATGTGGTACAAGCTATGTGATCCAAGCTCAGTGGTCCAATCTACGTTGACCAATATGCGTGGGGCAATATATGTGTTGCAGATTATCGTGGCGCAAGCTATTTGATGGCTAGATGGTGCAATCTGCGTGGTCAAAGCTATGTGGTGCAAGCTTTGTGGTTCAAGATCTGTGGTGACAGCTGTCAGGTGCAGTCAACGTGGTGTGAGATATGCGGGGCAGTCCCCTCCCTCAACCCCCCCACCGCTCTCTTCCATGTCGCCCCCTTGCCCCATGCCCTTGCTCCTACTTCTCGCCTCTCCGTCACAGCTACTAATTTGTTCCACGTCCTTCCTCCTCCTCCTCCTCCTCCTCCTCCTCCTCCTCCTCATCCCATCACCCTCTCCATCCTCCTCCTCCCTTCCTTGCTTCCCTCCTCTCGGCGGGAAAAGAAGCCCGCGAGGTGCGCTGATGGAGACCAAGGAGTGCGAGGCCCGCACCCTTTTTGGCTCCTCCGGCCCCGCTCCCCTCCCCCCTCCTCTTCCTCCCCTCCCTCCTAGGGGGGGCTGCTGGGGCCTGCTGGCGGTCCCTGCGGCGCGGGGCCTTCCATTCTTTTTGTTGGCTGAGTTGTTCTTCGTGGGCCCCCCTTCGAGCAGAGGGGCCCCGCAAGCCTCAAGGCTCCATTGTGCTCACAGAGCTGTGGACGTCTTCTCCGCATAGTCCCGCATAGTCCTTCGTCCCCTCCCTCCTCCCAGGACGTCGGAAGGGGACCGAGGAGAAGGAAGAGAGGAGCGACAGTCCAGGGCCGATGGTGTCAGACGTGCGCGCATGCCTGTGTCCAATGACGCGTGCGTCTTGCTGCGCGGGTTCCTGGAGGCCTGCGGAGTGCGACGAGGCTCCCCAAACGCCCGCCTGTGTCCTCCGGGGGCTCTTGCATGGCCTCCCCTGGCCTGAGGCTCTCAGGCCCTGCGGTCCCACGAGAACCTCAAGCGGCCTTCCTCCCGTCCTCCTGCCGCATCCCCTTTTCGTTCAGTCCTTTGGCATCTCTCCGCCCTTGCCAGCCTCCCCTCGTCCGTGTCATGCTGGTGGGCAAGGAGCATGTCATCGCGAGCCGCCAGGATTCGTTATTCCGAGTTGGCACCTGCCGCGTTCTGCTCAGCGGTCCAGGAAAAGTATATACATAGATGTACATACACGTACGGGTCTATGCGAATATTACATATTTACATACATACATACATACATACATACATACACACATACATACATGCATACATGCAAAGTTACACACACTGGTATACATTCATATATATATGTATATATATATATACAAGACTGCATTGGCGCTGCGCGCCATGCACCTTGGTCCTGTGGAATTCGCAGGCTAGCGGAGTGCGAGCGTGCGTACATGCGCACACACATGCGTCTATGAATGCATAGTACATGTGTACTTATATATATATATATATATATATATATGTATATATATAGATATATATATATATGCGTTTGTATGGATATGTACATGTATATGCAAATGGTCAGTGTAACTATGTGTGCGCATACACATGTATATATCAGGCGGTAGTGGCCTGACCAGTTGCTCATATCATCGCGCCACTAAAAGGCGGGAGGGTCTCAGGCAAACGTGGTCAGACTACCATGGGACAATGCGTCGCCGAGGTCAGTGTTGCCAGGACGTCCCGGGGGAAAATGGCCTGAACACCTCCGCTCAGGGGAGGGCATCTCCGAAATCAGCCGTGCGAGGAAGTTTCAAGCGGGGAGTGGTCTGAACACCTCTGCTCAGGGCATCCTTGAACTTAGAGTTGCGAGAAGTCGCACGCGAAAGTGGCCGAACCACCATGGTGCAAGGCACCTCCGAAGTGAGACTTGCGAGAGTGTCTCAGAAGACGGTGGCTGGAACACCTCAGCTGAGAGTGTCTCGGACCCCAGATCTGCGATGATGTCTGAAGCGAAAACGGCGGGACCGATGCGAAACAAGGCGCTTCTGAGGTCGGAGTTGCGAGCATATCTCTGGCGAAGCGGATTAGACTACTTTCCGTTATCTCCTCTTCCTCTTTCCCCTTTTCCTTTCCTCCTCCTCCTCCTCCTCCCCCTCCTCCTCCTCTTGTTCCTCCTCCTCTTCCTCTTCCCCCTCTCCGCTTCTTTTTTTGTCCATTCTCCCCATCCCTGGCGGCGCGGCGCGGTGCCGCTCGGCCTCTCTGCGAGTCAAGCGGCAAAAGGCGAGAGAACCCCCCCGAATTAGGAACGGTTTCCCCAAGCCGCCAAGGGGGCCCGAAGGTAGTGCGAGAGGCGGTGCAGGTTTTGAAATTCCCCAGGGGCTCCTCGGATTCGGCCGGCCCTCTCCGGCAAGGCAGGCAAGGGCACCGCGTCCAGGTGCTCAATCCCCCGTATCCCCCTCCCCTCGTCTTCGTTCCCTCCTCCATGTCCCCCTCCTCCTCGTCCTCGCCCCCCTTTTCCCCCTCGTCCTCCTCCTCCCTCCCCCCTCCTTCTCCTCCCTTGATGCCCCCGCGTGGTTTTCGGGCCATGACTCGGGCCTCTGGGGGCCGTTCGCGACGTTTCCGGCGCCCCTGAAACGCTTCCGGCGGGTCGCAGATACTGAAGGAAATCCCCAGATCGGAAAACTCCCCAGAACAAACAATCCGAAAACTTTGATCCTCCACTCTCGGTTCCTCTCTCTCGGAGGAGGAGGGAGGAGGGGTGAAGGACGAGGGGAGAGACAATGAAGATTAGCGCGGCGACGACGACGACGACGACGACGACGACGACGACGACGGTGGCTGTCCGGGCGGCGCTTCCGCCGGATGGAGGCCCGCCGAGGCAGCCGGCGCGCGGTTCGGGGGCCTGGCCGATTCGGAGAGCGGGTGGTGTTTCCCCAGGAGGTGTGCTGAAACCGAAGGTTCCCGACGGCCTGATCTCCGAAATGTCGCAAAAACCCTGGTTCCCAACAGCGCGTCCGGATGAGATGGTGTCGTGGCCCCGACGGTTTGTGTTGAGTGTTGCGAGAAGTTCAGTCGAGGCGGGAGGAGGAACATGAAGAGGATGAGGAGAAGGAGAAGGAGGAAGAGGAGGAGGATGAAGAGGAGGAAGAGGATGAAAACGACAGATTATGTGGATATTTCGGGCACAGCCGAGGTGTCGCGGAAGAAATCCGCAGCAGAGACTTGGGAGAGTGAGGAGGGTTGCTTCTGCTAGACCTTTGGCGGGGCGGAACGTGAAACACCACGGGGAATTAGAAGAAGGAGGAGGAGGAGGAGGAGGAGGTAGAGGAGGAAGAGAATGAGGAAGAGGAGAAAAAACTCTTGGGTCCTTCGGTGGCTTGAACGAAAAATGGCCTCGCTGCGCCATTGGATACGACAGCGACGACGAAGAAGGCGACGACAAAGAGAAGGGATAATGAGAGGGGGAGACCGCTGTGTTGGGATCTCGTGGCGTGCCTCCCGGGGCCCTCTGGGAGGCAGTTTTGAAGCCTCTTGGGGGTGTTTTGGGGTTCTTGGGATCTTTTTGGTGCCTTTCGGTGGCCTCTTGGGGGCTTCTTGGGGCCTCTTGGGAGATTTTTGGGGGCCTCGTGGGGCTCTCCCCGGGCCTCTTGGGGCCCTCTCGCGGTGGAAAATTGGATTTTTGAATTTTTGGGCGCCCTCTTGGGTCTCTCTTGGGGCCGTCTTGGTGCTCTTTTGGGCCGTCTTGGGCGCCTCTTGGGCAGTCTCGGAGCCCTCCTGGACCGCGTGGGGGCTTTCTCGGGGGCCTATTGGGCAGTATTGGGGCGATCTAGGGAGCCTCTTGGGCCATTTTGGAGCGTCGGGGAGCGGGAAAAGCGAGAAGGCCAACAACATCGAAAAACACACACGAAAATCAACACTTGTAGCCTCTCGGGGCTCTCTTGGGGGGCCTCTTGGGGGTCTCTGGGGGCGTCTTGAACGCGTCGTGGGCAGTCTTGGGCCCAGATTGGGCGTCTTGGGCCGATCTCTGGGTGTCTCGGGGCCCTCTGCGGCCGTCGTGTTTTTTTTTTTTTTGCGTCGCATTCGCAGGACAGACACGGGGCACTCTGCAGGAGCGCCCCAAAGGCTTGGGGAGGCCGAAATTCGTTTGGGGGGGGCACCGTGTGCCGTTTTTCCGGGGTCCCCGGCCCAGTAAAAAATATATAAATAGGAATATATGTAGCTACGTGTACATCTTCACCCGCGCTGCGTGCATCGGGCATCCCATCCTTCGCTCTCATGTTTGTGTTTCATCTTGCGCCTACTGTCCCCAATGACTCATCATCCTTATTTCGTGTTCTCTACTTCGCCTGCCCCCCTCCGTCCTCATGCCCCTTTCTCCCCCTTCCTACCTTCTCCTGGCCATGACTTTTCTCATCCCCCCCTTCCTCCACCTCCGCATTCCCACATTCCTCCTGCTCCCTCTCCGTCCCTCCTCCAAGCCCCCCACTCCTCGTCATAACGTCTCCCCTCCCCGTACTCCTCACCCCCTCTTTCCGCCCTAACCCTCTTCCTCCTTCCCTCTGTGGTAAGCACATGCCCTGTGGTGTTCACACGACGTGTGCTCTGGCATTGTCGTGTGAAACCCGGAGCATCGCGACGCCTTTGCGATATCCGCGAGGCTGGTGAGCACGCAGGCCTTGCTGCCAGCGCCGGCCATCTCTGCGTTCGCGGAAGGGTGGTCGGTACCGTCCCCCTTGCCCGGCCCCCTCGCCCAATAACGCTCGATGTTGATGGTAATGATGATTGTGATGCCGATCGTGACGGTGATTTTGACTGGGTTGGTGATGGTGATGGACATGATGCGGACGATGATCATGATGATGGTGATGATGATGGTGGTAGCGGTAATGATTGTAATGATGATGCGGATGATGATGATGATGATGATGATGATGATAATGATGGTGTTCGTGTTGGTGGTGGTGGTAATGATGATAATGCTGCTGCGGATGATGACGATGATGGTGATGATGATGGTGATGATGACGGTAGTCGTGACGCTGGTGATTATTATGATGGTCATAAGGACGGTGATGACGATGACGATTATGACGATGACGGTGGTGGTGGTGATGATGGCTCCTGGTATTACGATGATGATGGTGATGATGATGATAATGATGATGATGCTGATAATGACGATCATGACCATGATCACGATTCTGAGCATGATGATGATCACGAGGATGATGATGATGATGATGATGATGATGATGATGATGGTGATGCTGGTGGTGGTGATGGTGGTGGTGATGGTGATGATTGTGATGATGAAGGTGGTTGTGATGGTAATGCTGATGACGATGATCGTGATAATGGAAGCGGTGGTGATGAGGATGAAACTGATGATGGGGTTGAGGATGAGGGTCAGGGTGATGATGATGCTGCTGATGATGATGGTCATGAAGACGGTCATGATGATGATCATCATCATCATGATCATCATGATCATGATCACGATCATGATGATGATGACGACGACGACGATGATGATGATGATGATGATGATGATGATGATGATGATGATGATGATGATGATGATGATGACGTTGATGCTGCTGCTGCTGATGATGATGATGATGATGAAAATGATAACGATGATGCGCGGAGCAGCATTCAGCAGTCGGGATGAGCTGGAGCAGGAAGGGGGCGAAGCGGGCCCAGGCGTCAGCGGCAGCGGCAGCGCTGGAGTTGCCCAGGGTCCTCCCAGACCTCCCGAGCATCCAGAGTATGCTTTGCACTGGCCCGGCGAGGTGCCCAACCCTGCATAGCCGCGTGTAGCCCAGGATGCGGCCCTGTCAGCACGGACTGCGCGCCGCGAGAGGGATGGAGGTCCGAGAAGCTGGAGAACGGGCGAAGTCGCCACCGCCCCGCGTGCGGTCGTGCCCACGTGGACCGTAGGTGGATCTCTCTGCTGGGCGATGATCCTCGTGTTGTGTGTGCCGGAATGGGGCCCCGCGCGGCCGCCCTCGTCCTTGTCCCTCCCTTGCATGCCGGCGGATTGGCCATTCGGTTGCCCCGAATTGCCACACGCTGGAGCGGACTACCTTTGCCTCGCCGCCGACGAAAGAAAAGTGCCGAGAGGGGGGGCGCCGACCCCTCGATTTCTCAAAGGTCGAGGCTGTCTGAGGGCGGCGCGCACAAGGGGTCAACGCGAGGGGGTCGGCTCTCGATTCTAAGAGGGCGGGAGGCTTCTTGGCAGGCCGGGGCCTTCTCTGGCGCGCCCGGGTGCTTTCCAGCAGGCCTCTGAGCAGCCGGGAGGGCTGCAACGACGCCGCCGGCCTGCTCAGAAGCCCCCCTCGCCGTCTCGGGAGGCCGCCGCCCTCGCGCCACACTTAAATGTGCGGGCCGGGAGCCCCCGCAGCAGTCCCCGCACTTCGATCGCCGGAGTGCGTCGGCGTGCGCCCGCGTCTGGTGTCATCGGTGAGAAGGCGCTGGCTTGGCGTCGAGCAGTCTCGCTCGGCGCCCGTCGACCAGCGTCGATCCGCAGGGACCAACAGGATGGCATGTCCGACGGGTGTAGGCCGAGGATACATCCGTTCCAGAGCATTCCGGAACGTTCTCAGATCGTTCTGGAGCGCTCTGAGAAGACTGTGGCGCTGGAGATATCTTCCGGAGCCGCCAAATCTCAGGTATTCTCTGTTGTGAAGGCTGTGCGGCCGGTGCCGCCGACCCTGAAGGACGACGACGACGACAACGACGCCGACGCCGACGCCGACGCTCCCCTCGCCGCTGCCGCCGCCGCCGCCGACGACGACGACAACGACGACGACGAACTGAAGACATTGCCACAGGCTCGGGACATGGGGAGGGAGGGTAGAGGGAGGAGGAGGAGGAGGAGGAGGAGGAGGAGGAGGAGGATCAGGATGAGGAACAAGAGGAAGAGGGGGAGGAGGAGGAGGAGGAGGCGAAGGAGGAGGAGGAGGAGGCGAAGGAGGAGGAGGAGGAGGAGGAGGAGGAGGAGGATGGACAGAAAACCACCAAAAAATCTCCAGGCGCGCCGCGCGCGAAGGGCTGGGGAGGGGGGCCGCCTAGCATGGCCAGAGCAGAGGGCCGCCGCCCGGCGCGCGTGGAGCGGGACGCGAGGCCAACTGCACGGCGCCGAAGGACTGCAAGCTGTCGGCCTGGGCAGACTGGACCGACTGCGACGTGGACCGTGCGGACCAGAGGCGGGTCCCCCCCAAGGGGTGGGGGGGGAGAGGGCGAGGAGAGGGTGGTTGAGGAGGAGGAGGAGGAGGAGGAGGAAGAGGAGGAGGAGGAAGAGGACAAGGAGGAGCAGGAGGATGAAGAGGAGGAGGAGGAGGAGAAGGAGGAGGAGGAGGAAGACGACGACGACGCCGACGACGACGACGACGACGTCGAGGAGCGAGAGGTTGATGACCAGTGGAGGAAAAGGTAACGATACTGCTCCCTCGTAATCGCCTTTGGGGACCTCCTAGGAGGCCCTCGTCGCCACGGCTGGATTCGCCTCGAGATTCCGTTCAGGATGCACTCCGAGAGAGGTCCAGGGAGGAGCGGTATTGGTACCTGAGTGGCGGCATCGGTAATGTATGGTTTCCCTATAGAAGGAGGAAGCAAGGGAGGCGAATGGCGGGAGGGGGGAGGAGGATGAGAAGGAAGGGTAGGGGCAGGGGGACGGGGAGGAGGGCTAGGGTGGTGGGGGGAAGGGAGCATGACGAGGGAGAGAAAGCGGGCGATGGGGGAGTCGGGGAAAGCAGGAGGGCGAAGAAGAGGAGGGGAATGAGAAGGAGTTCGAGCAGGAGCTGCTGTGCAGCAGGAAGATGAGGTGAAGGAGGAGGAGGAGGAGGAGGAGGAGGAGGAGCAGGAGGATGAGGAGGAGGAAGAGCAGGAGGAGCGAGAGGAGCGGGAGGAGCGCGAGGGGGAGGGTCGTGGGAGGCATCTTGAGAAGTCTGTTCACCTTGCTGCTGCTGCTGTTGCTGCTGCTGCTGCTGCTGCTGCTTCTGACGCCGCCGCCGCCGCCGCCGCCGCCGCCGCTGCTGCTGCTGCTGCTGCTGCTGCTGTCGCTGCTGCTGCTGCTGCTGCTGCTGCTGCTGCTGCTGCTGCTGCTGCTCTCCGTCCAGTCTCTCTCTCTCTCTCTCTCTCGCTCTCGCCCCACGCGTGGCACAGTCGACACTGGCCTCAAGGATCAAGGATGAGCCTTCGAGTCAATTCCACCCCTGCACCTCTCAATGAGAGGCGTCCTCTGCGCGCTCTCTGCACCATGTGTCCTTGCAGTCCATCCCTCGGACACGTGCATTCTAGGCCACCCACGGGTGCGCGAAGAGAAGCGCATCTCGCGGTCTGGGGCTGCTCCACTCTCCTCCGCCTCCTCCTCCCCCTCCTCCTCCTCCTCCTCCTCCTCCTCTTCGTCCTCCTCCTCCTCCTCCTCCTCCTCCTCCTCCTCCTCCTCCTCCTCTTCCTCCTCCCCCCCCTCCTCCTCCTCCTCCTCCTCCTCCTCCTCCTCCTCCTCCTCCTCCTCCTCCTCCTCCTCCTCCTCCTCCTCCTCCTCCTCCTCCTCCTCCTCCTCCTCTCAGCGGGGCGGCTCCGCCACCCTCCCCCTCAACGGAAAAAGGCGCCCTTCTCTAGAGCGGCGCCGTGGGGGCAGGAGCCCGCGCAGCGCGGGGCGCAGTGCGAAGCTGCGTGATCTAGCCTGGCTGGTTTCGGGGAAAGAAGAAGTATAAACATAAACTTGTGGCGCTCCGCGCGGATTTCTTGAATCCGCGCTGGGCCCCCCCGCGGCGCCTCCGGCGCCGCCCCTGGCGCGCTCCGCGCGCCAGGGCGGGCGGTCCAGCGCAGATCGAAGAAATCCGCGCGGAGCGCCAAACGTTTCTGCCTATTTCGCTTTTCCTTCTTCTATGATTTGGGTCCTGTGCGCCGCGGTCGGGAGCCTCTGGTTAGCGTGTCGATCCCCCGGCTCTGGCCCACCATGCTTCGGCACGGCACGCCAACCACGCCCCAGTCCCCAGATGAGCGTTTTTGTTGCCCTCCCCAGGGTAACGCTCGTTTCCCGGGCCAAACCCCTCCCCCCCTCCCCGGGTAACGCTATAACGATCGTATTGGCGGGGGGGCCTGGACCCCCCCCCCTATATGTATACGTGCTGCGGTGCACACAGGCGATTGATGCGCTGGTGGCGCGGACGCGCACTGGCGGGTGCACGCTGCGGCGGCCGTTGTACCAATGCCCTCCCGCCCGACGCGCCCCCCCTCAGTCAACGACCGTCTCACGGAAAGAAAACAACAGACGGCCACGGCGTCCACGCCCCGAGCTTCCTCGCGCCCCCCGCCCCGCGACACGGCGCGGCACGCTGCCAGCTCGCAGGGCACCGGCGTGTCGCCAGGGCCGCCGCCGCGGCACGCTCAGCAGCACAGCCCCTGGCCGCACAGACGGTGCCTCGGCCGACCGCCCCGAGGCGGGCCGGAGCCCAGACCCAAGACGTCATAATTTGTTCAGGGCGTGACCCCTGCAGAGGTCTGGACCCCTTCCCAGGGGACCGGCTTTGCGTCCTGCGTCGTTCTCTGACGGTCCCGAGGCCCGGGAAGGGCCCCTGGAGGCCGAGGACGGCGGAAGACCTCCCGTTGTGATTTTTTTAGGGCCCCCGGAGGCCGAGGACGGCGGGAAGCCTCCCGCCGCGATTTGTTCTCTCGACGCGAGGAGGTCTGGGAGCGGGGCGGGCCCTCCCCGGCGGGAGCAAGCCGCGAGGTACCGCAGGCGGCAGATCCTGCAGGAGCCGAGCGACGGCGGCGAGCCGTGCGTCCGCGCCCCGCCCGCTTGGCGCCCGCGCGCCACCGGTGTGCAGCCACGCCGCCGCCGCCGCTGCCGCCGTCGCCGCACGGCCGGACCGAGGTCTCAGACCGAGGTCGGTGCGGGGAGATTGGGGGAGGAGGAGGAGGAGGAGGAGGAGGAGGAGGAGGAGGAGGAGGAGGAGGAGGAGGAGGAGGAGGCGGAGAGGAGGAGGAGGAGGAGGCGGAGGAAGAAGAGGAGGAGGAGGAGGAGGAGGCGGAGGCTGAGGAGGAGGAGGAGGCGGAGGAGGAGGAGGAGGTGCTTGATGATCGAGGTCGGTTGGGGGAGGGTACCCTCATGCTTCGCCGGAGAAACAAGGGCATAAGTACAAACTTTTGGATCCGCGCTGGGCCCCCCCCAGCGGCGCCTCCGGCGCCGCCCCTGGCGCCGGAGGCGCCAGGGTGGGGTCCCGCGCAGACCCAAGAAATCCGCGCGGGGCGCCAAAAAATTCGGTTCATGCCGTTCTTTCCTTTTCAGCTCGGGGAGGGAGCCCTCATGTTCGTCGTGCTCGTGGGTCGCTCCTGTGCATCCTGGAGGAGGGCGCCCTCGCGTGATCTTGCAGTGTGGGGTGTTCTGTCCGGCGGAGGGTCGCATGCTCTCGACGGGTAATTAGGTTTCTACCCCGGGTCCGACCGCTTGGTCGCCGCCGTCGCCGTCGTGGTCAGAGGCGCCGCCGCCGCCGCCGCGGGCACAGAGGCGACATGAGGCGACCGCGCCTCCTCCTCCTCCCGTACATGGACAATCATACCCGAACCCTGTGACCCAAGATGCCCCCACCCGACCCCCCGAAAGTAATTAGGATAACGTAAGATTGATGGCGTGGCGAAGGAGGGGGCGTGAGTGGACAGACATAGTCGACCCCCCCCCCGCACCGCCTTGATGTCGGGGGCGGAGGGGGGGAGCGATTCGGAATTCCTCTCGACTGTGTGTTCGAATAGATTGTCCAGCTACTTTCCCCCGTGCAAAAACCTCCCCCACCTCCTCCTCCTCCTCCATCCTCCTCTCCTCCTCCTCTCCTCCTCCTCCCTCCTCCTCCTCCCTCCTCCTCCTCCTCCTCCCTCCTCCCTCCTCCTCCCTCCTCCTCCTCTCCCTCCCTCCTCCTCCTCCTCCTCCTCCTCCTCCTCCTCCTCCCTCCTCCTCCTCTCTCCTCCTCCTCCTCCTCCTCCTCCTCCTCCTCCTCCTCCTCCTCCTCCTCCCCTCCTCCTCCTCCTCCTCCTCCTCCTCCTCCCTCCTCCTCCTCCTCCTCCTCCTCCTCCTCCCTCCTCCTCCTCCTCCCCCTCCTCCTCCTTCTCCTCCTCCTCCCCTGCACGCTGGGGAGCCGCAGCATCGCGACTCTCGGCATCGGCGGCGGCCGCGGGAGAGAGACCTCTCCCGGGGCGCGCCTCGGCCGGAGCTGCCACAGGCTCGGGAGAGGGGGGGGTCCATCGCCGGGGCGGCGAGAGGCCTTCCGGCGTCCTCCCCAGGCGCCACGCGGACAGGCTCCAAGCAGGAGTCGAGATCCTTCGATCTCCGCCCCCCCCTGGCCTCTACCAATCCTGGCGCCTCCTCTTCCTCCTCCTCCGCCTCCTCCTCCTCCTGCTCCTCCTCCTCCTCCTCCTCCCTCCTCCTCCTCCTCCTCCTCCTCCTCCCCTCCTCCTCCTCCTCCTCCTCCTCCTCCTCCTCCTCCTCCTCCTCCTCCTCCTCCTCCTCCTCCTCCTCCTCTCTCCTCTCCTCTCCTCCTCCTCCTCCTCCTCATCAGCATCATCATCATCATCATCATCATCATCATCACCATCACCATCATCATCATCATCATCATCATCATCATCATCAGCATCAGCATCAGCATCAGCATCAGCACCATCATCATCACCTCCTCCTCACTCATCGTCCCACGCCTCTTCTGATCCTCCCTCTGGCCTCTACCCTCCTGGCGCATGTTCCTCCTCCTCCTCCTTTTCCTCCTCCTCACCTCCTCCTCATCTCTCCTCGTCCCCCTCCTCTTCTGATCCTCCTCCCCCCCCTGCCTCTCCTCCTTCCCCTCCTCCCTCCTCCCCGTCCCTCCGCCCGAAGTGTCCGAACCGATCCTGCCCGAGGGCTTCACCTGCGTGCTGCATCCGAGATGGGCCCACGCAAGCTTCGGCACTGCAGTGAGGCGCGAAGGGACGCGCGCGCCCCCCTGAGGCGACCTCCGCTGCCGCATCCTGCTGGCGCCCTTCCCTTCAGGGCCGCTGGTCTGGGTCGCTCTCCAGACCCCCCGACGTCATGCATTTTGCGTGACGTCGACCCCCAGAGGCCTCGATCCCTTCCCCAGGACCGACGTTTCGTCCCGAGTCGTTGTGTTGACGGTCCCGAGGCCCAGTAGCAGGGGCCTTGGAGGGGGGGAGAACGTGGCGAAAAACTTTCGTCGTGATTTTTGTCATAGCGCGAGGTTGTCCTGGTCAGCGCCCCCCCCCCGGCGGCGGCGGCGTGCGCTGGAGGTCGGGGCGCTGGAGGAGACGGGCGGCTGCGGCGGCAACGGCACGGAGGACTGCGAGCTGTCCAAGTGGGGCGACTGGAGCCCCTCGGCTCGTGGGCCGCTTCGTTGCCGCCGTCGTCGTCGTCGTCGTCGCCCCTCGTGCCGCGTGCGTCGTCGTCGTCGTCGTCGTCGTCGTCGTCGTCGTCGTCATCCGTCGAGTCGTCGAGTCGTCGAATCGTCGAGTCGTCGTAGTCTTCGGGTCGTCGAGTCGTCGAGTCGTCGGGGATGGGGGGCAGAGGTCAGGGGCAACGTCAGGGACGTGGCGCGATGCTTTCGGCCGTTCCCGTCAGTTCAAACACGACGATGTTCTAGCCTCGGTTCCCCTCGGAACTCTCCAGCAGTTGCTTGCCCCCTCACTGAGGGATGTTGTAGCTTAAGCGTGCGGCGATTAATTAACACGCAATTAGCTATCCCGTTGGGAAGTGGAACGCTCTGGAGCGCAGCCAACTCTCAGGATTCGCTTGTTTCAAGAATGGTACTCGACGGATCAATCCTGTGGGAGAGCATGGGTCTGAGGGTTGCCAGTGTCTGGGGCCCGCCCAGCGGACCCCCCCCAGAGCAAGCCCTCGCGAGGCGAGCCTCCAGCGAGCTGACCCTCTCCTCGTCCTCCGCCTCCTCCTCCTCATCCTCCTCCTCCGCCTCCTCTTCCGCCTCCTCCTCCTCCACCTCCTCTTCCTCTTCCTCCTCCTCCTCCTCCTCCTCCTCCTCCTCATGCAGCCTCCCAGGCTGATCCCCCCCCTCGTCGAAGGGATGTCCTGGCGGCGGCGGGGGCGTCCAGTCATAAAACTTCCCCAGCATCATGGCCCAGCCATGTTCTTCTTCCAGTGCGCTTCTGATCCCCCCCCTCGTCGAAGGGATGTCTAGGCGGAGCTGCGGGCGTCCAGTCATGGAACCTCCCAGGTGTCATGGCCCACTTCTTCCAGTGCGCTTCTGATCACCCCCCCTCGTCGAAGGGATGTTCAGGCGGAGCTGCGGGCGTCCAGTCATGGAACCTCCCAGAGGTCATGGCCCAGCCTTGCTCTTCTTCCGGTTCGCGCCTGATCCCCCCCCCTCGTCGAAGGGATGTCCTGGCGGAGCTGCGGGCATCCAGTCATGGAACCTCCCAGGTGTCATAGCCCAGCCTTGCTCTTCTTCCAGTGCGCTTCTGATCCCCCCGCCCTCGTCGAAGGGATGTCCTGGCGGAGCTGCCGGCGTCCAGTCATGGAACTTCCCAGGTGTCTGGTCAGCCTTGCTCTTCTTCCAGTGCGCTCCTGCCCCCTCCCGCGTCGAAGGGATGTCCAGCGGACTGCGGCGCGTCCAGTCATGAACCTCCCTCGGCCTGGGTCTGGCCCTTGCTCTTCTTCCGTGCGCTCCTGACCCCCCCCCCTCGTCGAAGGGATGTCCTGGCGGGCTGCGGGCGTACAGTCATGAACCTCCCAAGGTCATGGCCAGCCCTCCTCTTTTTCCGTTCGCGCCTGAGTCCTGGCGGAGCTGCGGGCATCCAGTCATGGAACCTCCCAGGTGTCATAGCCCAGCCTTGCTCTTCTTCCAGTGCGCTTCTGATCCCCCCGCCCTCGTCGAAGGGATGTCCTGGCGAGCTGCGGCGGCCGTCCTGGAATTTCCCAGGTGTCATGGCCCAGCTGCGCCCTTCTGTCACCATGCCCAACCCTCCCCCGTCGAAGGTTCAGCTCGCTGGGCTGGCGTCCGTCATGGAACCTCCCAGAGTTCATGGTCCATGGGCCCTTGCTCTTCTTCCAGTGCGCTCCTGACCCCCCCTCGTGAAGGGCTTAATGGCGGAGCTGCGGGCGTCCAGTCATGGAACCTCCCAGAGGTCATGGCCCAGCCTTGCTCTTCTTCCGGTTCGCGCCTGATCCCCCCCCCTCGTCGAAGGGATGTCCAGGCGGAGCTGCGGGCATCCAGTCATGGAACCTCCCAGGTGTCATAGCCCAGCCTTGCTCTTCTTCCAGTGCGCTTCTGATCCCCCCGCCCTCGTCGAAGGGATGTCCTGGCGGAGCTGCCGGCGTCCAGTCATGGAACTTCCCAGGTGTCATGGCCCAGCCTTGCTCTTCTTCCAGTGCGCTCCTGACCCCCTCCCGCGTCGAAGGGATGTCCAGGCGGAGCTGCGGGCGTCCAGTCATGGAACCTCCCAGAGGTCATGGGTCATGGCCCTTGCTCTTCTTCCAGTGCGCTCCTGACCCCCCCCCCTCGTCGAAGGGATGTCCTGGCGGAGCTGCGGGCGTCCAGTCATGG